TAAGTAATGGAGCTGTGTCTGTCTGTCTGTCTCTCTCTCTCTCTTTATATATATAATTATAATATATAAATATTTGTATTTATTTATATTTATTTATTGATATTTACTCATATCAAGGGTTTTTATCCCCATACAGGTAGGCCTTCCATGTCACATTCTGTATTGCTGCAGCTAGTATTTCCATTTTAGAAACTGGCATTCTCTTTAAGGTCATGACTTTGCTCAATAATGAAAGAATGAGGTTACTGATATCAAAACACTCAGATTTACCCTAGAACAAAATGTTGCTCTTACCTAGGATTGATGTATTAGTCTAAGTGCTCTTGCTGGTTCTGTTATGGTATTAAAAGGGCCAAAAGGCCTACTTAAAGCAAGATTACTTCCTCTTCCTATACAAATACATTTTTATTTATTTTATTTTTAAAATATTTAAATATTTTATTTTAAAATATTTAAAATATTTAATTTTATTATTTTATTTTTAGGCATTCATTTACTGTCAGATTAATTTATGCAAACCAGGCTAAAGAGTCCCACTAGCAGGGAGCAAATACACTATAGAAAAGATGATCTCAGATGCATGCCTCCACTGTAGTTGAATATCCAGATGGAAGGATTTTAAGAACTAAACTTTGTAAATAGTTGTCACATTGACTCAGTTTATCAGACTGCATGATGCAATTTGATTCATATATTGAAAGATCTGCAATTTGAATAGTATTGTTGTGGAGGTTTAAATTGATTTAAGTAAGATTGATATGATTCATTAAATTGATTTAGAAAATGGATCCATTGGAACCATTTTTTACAAACCTACTAAATGTTGTTGTTTTTCTGCTGTAAAGTACAAGTGAAATGGCAATTGGCCAGCCATACTTCAGGGAATCCACTGCTTTCTTGGTACTTTCATCTCTGTGTTAAGTCTACAGATTTTTTCATTTGTTTGCTTAACTAAATATGTTCAAATATAGCTTTTTGTGTGTGTGGGGGAGTATTGGGCTAAACTGGGAAGTCAAAAACAAATGTTCCAGAAAAAGTTACTGTCAAACTACCTTCTATCATGCCAAGAAAACTGCATGGATGTGCCCATGTAGGTCATCAGGAGCTGAGCTCAAATTGAAGGTGATTTTACTTTAACATAACTGTGTGAGTTGGCAATGTGTTGCCACTAGATGGCACGAACTAACCTCTAATTCTGTTTTAAAAATTAAAAATAATAATAAATTGCCAAGATCTCAGGAAATCAGAAATCTAAAATGTTTTCCATCTTCTTTTACCCATTTAATTTTTAAAATTAAAAATACTTATTTAAAATTCATGTTTAATTCTAATGTTCATATTTTAGGGCTTACAATGCATGAAACTGGATAATTGTGGCCACCACTTGAACAGATTGCATTATTCCACCCAAGAATAGTTTCAGATGTCTTTGCATTTTTAATAGTGTCTGCTGCAGAGAGTTAAAGAATTGTAGCTAAGCATACTTATAGATAAACGTGGTTGCAAATTGAGGCACAAGTTCAGATTTTTCCTAAGGATGGGTAACCTGATCTTGTGTCAGCCCTTCGAGATAGACCAGATCAGGAAACACACTCCACAGGATGATCAGAATTATACTTTTATTGAGACAGGCTATAATAACAGAATCTTGCAAGTCTGTTGTGCTTTTGTACCCCTCCCTCTTATACCCCAGTGAATCAGGGAGGAGTCTTCTTGAGTCTCTTAATACTATCAACCTTCCCAGGACTTAAGGAATGCTTCCATCCTCTTTGTTTACACAATGGTTTCTGAATATTTGCTTCAAGGCTGTCTCCCTGGCTCTCTACATCTAGGTTTTTTGTTGTTGCTGTTGAAGAACTTACTTATTATTTACTTATTTATTTAGTAACAAAGCAATCTTAATCTAAGAAAAAGAAAATAAACTAAAAAAAAATAAAAATACAAACTAAGAAGGAAAAGAAAAAAATCTATAAAAGTATAGTATAAAAATTTTATACTTATCAATAGTCACTGGTTTACCAATAAATTCACTATAATATAAACAATACAATATATTATTGGAAGATATCACAGAATCTGCCATAATAACACATATTGCTGCATCCTTTGATTGGTAGAAAATATTGCCTTTTCCATAACAGATAGATCACACATTTCTGACAACCATTCCTTGACAGCTGGAATAATATCACTTTTCCCAGGACTTAAGGAATGCTTCCATCCTCTTTGTTTACATAATGGTTTCTTCAAGGCTGTCTCCCTGGCTCTCTACAGCTAGTTACTTACATCATCTCATCTGATCTACTTGGTTTCACTGTGTGAATAGAAAAACTCACCAGCTTGATTGCCTTTTATTAACTCTGCAGTGAGATGGGCGGTGACAAATTTGAAATATAAAAAATATAAATAAATAGGTTTTGAAATTTATATTTAAATAGCTTCCATCTCCCCTCCCCTATCTCCAACTCAGAGCACAACACAATTTAATTTCCCTGATTTTGATTTTATTACAACTCAAGGCGCTGATGATCAGCTTTACAATCCTGTATGGCTTGGGGTCTAGCTATCTTAAAAACTGCTTGCTCTAAATAGAATTTGCCTGACCAAATTGTGCATGTAGAACATTGTTTCTCAACCTTGGAAGCTTGAAGATGTATGGACTTCAAGTCCCAGAATTCCCCAGCCAGCATGCTTCTGAAATGTTTCTCCCCAAAATATGCATGTTTCAGGATTGTGCCTGCACAAAGCATGTCTAGTCATGGACCATCCAAAATTAGCTGTTCTGTGTATGGAATGTTTTGTACATCTCTACTTAAATATTTTTGTTAAGAAAATATTTCAAAGGCAAAAACAGGCATGCATGAAAGAATAAACAGAGCTCTTTAGAGAAGTTGCCATGACCGCATGAATATGCAACTTCCCTCAGGACAGTTTTCCCTGTGCCTTAATGGTGTATTTTCTATCTACAGACTGCAAAACAGAGTTTTGGTCTTCTTCTTTTTCCCTTCTTAATAGATATTCTGTATTAAAAAAACAAGGGAAAAAACAGTAGGAGAACAAAGGAGATTACAACTAGCTGACAACTGTTTGCATCCCATGAAATTCCGTTGTATAATTCTTTATAAAACCTTGCCTGAAAACAGTCTGAGAATTGTTTCACAGAGTCTGTGATGATCTTCCAAGGAGACAGTCTTCTTTGATTTAATGCTGGCATTTATAACACTGTTGTCCCAAGAAACTGCTACAGTTTCAGTTGTATCAGTCCTTTTCCTGCTAATTGGAACTGATTAAAGAAAGTGGTCTCAGTTGATTAACTATGTCTTGTTTCATTTAACATTCTAAGCCATTATTTTAAATATGGCTTCTTGTATAAAGCACTATGACCTTGTTCACACATTACAATAATCCATAAACCGTGGTTTGCAAATTACAGTTGATAGGTTAACAGATTATGCTAAACCAAATCCAAACATTGTTAACATTCTTAAACAGGTGATGATGCACATGGCTTTCCACTAGCATTTTTCAATAGAAGAGAATATATGTAGCTCAGGGTTGAACTGTGGAGTCTCTGGTGCTCTCTGAGCTTGGTTGTTTGCTTGCAGATGTTTTATTACCCAACTAGGTAATAACATCAGTGCGAGTGAGTGTGGGGTTTCCTCCCTGTTTATATATAGTAGCTTGCCCTACCAGTGTTAGTGGGGTGTGCTTTTCTCCTGGGTAGTTCCTTGATTAGGGTGTTGTTTTCTGCTTGATTGTATTTTTTGCTGCTTGCATTTTTGCTACTGAATATAATATCAAGTCTTTGTTCAGTAGGTGTGATGACTGCATTCAGTTGATTCAGGATTTATAATTCACCAGGTGTTTACCACTTTGAATACCTAGAAACATTGCACAGGTATTAAGCAGAGATATCACCCAAATCTTTTTTTTTTTTTGCCTCTTCCGTTGCAGATAGCTCAGCAGAAGCTCCAGCAAGCCAGCACCAATGTAAAGCACTGGAATATTCAGATGAATCGACTGATGCACCCCATTGCTCCAGGAGGTATTACTGCAGAAGTATTCAGCTTCTGTAGCCAGTTACCTTGTTTCAGACTTGCAAGTTAAGCCCACACAAATGTATAATTATCTGGCTGCCAAGGAATAATCTTGTACTTTTTGAATAGACATTGTGTTTCTGTTTGATCTTCCTCAAACATTTATGACCACAATTGTTTTAAAGATTATTTGTTCTCTTTTACAAGTACAGATGTCCAGGTTGAAGTTCAGCAGTCTGGAATATTCCATTTGTTTGTGAATCTGCTTTGCTATTATTTCCTACCATTGCTAGGGTCTGCTTCAAGAGAGGCAGTTTATAATTTGTAAAACACATGCATTCTGTGTACTTGTACATACACATCAGTTACAGTTATTTTAGTGTGGTAACGGTGATGGGCATATGCCTAGTAATGCTTTGTCCTTTAACTTTTTCAAATAAAAATAAATTTGGCCATGTGCTTTTCTTTTCTGGTTTCTAGAAAAGCGTACTGTGGCGAGCGGAGGATTCTCTGGCTTTAATCCTGCAATCCTGTCCAAGAGAGAGTCATCTGTCAAATTGAAGCAAAGTCTGGAAAAAAAAAAATCTGATGCTGTGAAGAATGAGAGCAAGGAAAATGTAAATGGAGTGACAGAGAAGCAGATGCCGATGCCAGAAAAGGATAATCCCAGCTCAGAAACCCTCTGATTAGCCTCAGAAGAAAAACAAACCCACTTAATTGAAATTTAGTGACCAGAAAATAAGCGTCATGGCAGCTTAATGATTATTATAGTCTATAAATACTGAACATATGTAAAAATTGTATAGACAAGAATTGTGATGATCTCTTCTGTTAAGCCACACAGTATCCTGACAGTTTGATTTATGCGCTAGAGTTGCCCCTGAAGTTTTATACATATACATATAAATATTGCTTCCTGCTCAAAACTTCAGAAGTATGATTTAAGTATGGGATTATGGTTCCCCCATGGCACACTCTATTTGGTCTCAGCAATTGAAGAAGAGTTCTGGTCACGTTGTATCATACTATGGAATTAAAATTTCTAACAGTTGGTGGTCATTGTAACCACTGCTGTAATATGCCAAGAATTCTGTCATTCTCTCTAAAAAAAATTAATTGTAAAATATATCGTCTGAACAATTGAAATGTGTTTTAAAAATCTAGTCCTTTTCCTTTTGGCAAACAGTATCATTAGTTAACTGTGTCATTTAACTAACCTTGTATTAGTCATCAGTTGAAAGGAAATAACCAGAGTTTATGTAATGATTTCTGAAAATGTTATGTACCTAATGTTTTGAGACAAATCAGCATCTAATAGAAAAGATTACAAAGATAGAAATTTGATGTTTGGTTTCATTACGCTGCTGGTGTATGCACTATGTAATGCAAACTTTTAAGCTGAATATTTGGGTTGAAATTCCAAATTAAAACATCCTCAACAGGTGGCTGTCCAGTCTGTGAAGGGGAGGCCACCATTTTCCTTGATAATTGGCTTCAGCCCATTTAAGTTTCCTTAGATAATTATGAGAAAAATGAATTTTAAGAGCCAACTAAGAAGTATTTTGAACAAGAGCAGGCAATGGAAGAGCCAGCCCTTATTATATCAAGGACTGTGAGCATTGTTGCTATGACTAGGTAACAGGGGAATGGATAGCCTCCTTAGGAAAATGTCTTATTAAAAAAAAAGAGAGAGAAATAGAATCTCTAAGCGGACATCAGAATGGAGATGAGAATTGTCAGGAGAAGGAACACCTCAAGAAAGGAAGAGATAATAAGTAAAGGAGAAAATAATTCCATGTTAATCTATGAAGGTAAAATTCTAGCCCTAAGCGTGTTTTTTAAATTTCAAGTCCTTCCTATTTAATTAAGTCACAACAATCTGGAAACTGAAATAGAGAATAAACACAATCTTGTTCCATTGTTAATGATGTGCTTAAGAGACAGATTCAGAAAGTATCTTTTAAAAAAAACTGAAAGAGGTGAGAGGCTATTGTTGCCCATAGCAATGTACACTCCTTTCTGTTGTTCCCTGATTGCATTATCAAGCAAGGTTTTGAAGCACGATGAAAATATTGCAAAATGTTTTGAATCAGAACGGATACTGTGTATATCCTGTGAGTAGTGATGACTTGATGTACAACTTTCAGCTGTGAAAAACAATTTCCGGTTCCTGCATAAGTAATTCTAGTCACAGGTGGCAGCAGCTAGCTGTCTTTGGCTGATTTTACAGAGGCTGAGCAGAGTCTGACCTGGTTAGGACTTTGATAGGAGTTCACCAAGAAGTTGAAGAGTTGTAGATGAGACTGGGAAGTTGAAGAAACACCCCCACAAGACAAAAATGAAGAAAAGGGGAGTACCTGATAACAGTAGGTGTAGCACCTACAGCAGATGAAATGCTAAATACTTTCTAAATTGTCCAAAAATAACTGCAAGACATGGTTGAATGCTTTCCATGTATTAGGGAGAAAATCTTTCATGTAGTAACTGCATTATAGGAAAAAAGATTTCTGACCTAATCTTCCCCTGGGCATATTAACTTTGTAAGTGCAAGGATTTTGCCATTATAGGACATACTCAGGCATGCATGCTACTTCCTACCTGCAGTGGGAAAGGATATACTTTCCCTGAATTGTCATAAATACAACAATAAATTGTCACATATGTCACACCTAGCTTGATCTACAATTCCACACATTTAGTAGCATAACTAAATAAGTAGTTGCACTGAATATGAGCTGCTACTTACTGAAGATGTGTGTACCTATTCAGGTGGCTGTAATAATACATTTTAACAGTTCAGGAGAGGAAATAGTGATGTCTTATAATCAGTCTCCTACCAAGATTGTAAACCATCATCCAGTAAGTGAAAGAGTTACAGGACTTCATATATGATCATAGGCTGTCATGTCTGATGTCAGGGTAATATCTTTGTAGGCTTGTATGTTCTACTCTGACTAGTGTAGCAGCAGCTTTCCAGGGTTTTAGAGAGTTATTTCTGATCATATGTGCCCAGTACCATATTGGCAGTGAGTTTTTTTTTAAATTTATTTAAGAATTAAATTTCTAAGAAGGCCTCTTTGGGGACCAAATCAGAATGGAGGACTGAGAGCTCAACTTCTGTTTTACAAACTGGTCAAAGCAGATGGTACTGCTATTGCCTCCACAGCCTTCTCTTGCCAGTGAGGTAACAAATGAAGTAAGCTATGAATCTCAAGGGACTCAATTTAATCCTAGGAATTCCATTTACTGATTTTCAGTAAGACAAAAGGGAGCTTGTATGAAGTAAAAAGGGGGTTTCTTTTAATATTAAATCTATTTTAGGACTTAGAAAATATAAAGATATGTTTTATATTTAAAAACTGGAAACTCTGTAACTGATGTTTGGTAGTTGAATAATTCTGTCTTGTGCACATGACAGCTACTACAACATGCTGTAAAAGATTCTGGGGTCCACAAAAGGGTTTGGGGCCATATGCTGTTGCATTATTGCAGGCTGCTGTTGCCTGCTATGGTCAGTAAAACCTGGGTAGTAGCTAAGTGTACCTCCTACACCTATCCGGTGTTTCCTTTAAATCCCAGCCTCTGGTAAGCCATTTAATAATGAAAATGCTGTATCCTCTGATATCAGTATAGTTTTCAAGGTGGCCAGTAGGGCAGTTAAAACAACACAACAAAGAGCAAAAATTCTCCCATTAAGTAAATTGAGGCTCAACTCATTTTTTTAGAAACCTTTTCTGCCTGGAGCCAGAAAAGAAAAAGACTGAGGACCAGGTGAATCTCCCACAGAAACAATGTTCCATAAAGAAAGCATTCTCACTAGTTACCTCTTGCCTAGCTTCAGAAGATGGGGGGTGTAAAAATATGATGCCAAGATGACTGACTTGTGAAGGTTTACAGGATTTTAGTTCTTATGTATATGGTTAAATTGGTTTGAGTTGTTTTATTTTCCAAGGTCTTTAGAGGAATAACTCAGATTTTTTTTTCTATTCGACTGGGCAGTATATGAGAGACATAAAGTGGTTTTGTAGTAGAGCAGAAGCAAGCAGGCTAGTAAAAAGAACCCAGTTGCTAATCCTGTTTCACATTATTCAGGTACAATAGAACTGCACCCCAAGGAAGCTTCATTAAAGCCAGCTCGGGCTGACAACTCCCGTATCTCCCTCCAGGACTGTAAACTCCGTCAGTCACTACCCCAGTTCCCAAGCTACATTCTAGAGTCTAGAATAATTTAAGAACACTCAGACCCTCTGTTAAGTCCTTGATTATTTCCCAAGTAAAATTTTCAGCCAAACTAGCACCAGGTCCATTCTATTACTTGGTAGTATTGCTTTCCATTCAGTATCAACCAAACATTCAAGTAATTAGGTACTAGGTTTATGATTACTTGGGCTAAGCTCTGAGACCAATATTTGAAATTAAAGAAGTATCTGTAAATATACATACACATTTGCAAAGGAAAATAAATTATTTTTTACTTATACGAAGCTGCTTCCATTAGCTCTGGTGTTTTGCTAATACGTTGTTTTCATCTCCAGTGTCTAAATATATAAAAAAATACAACAGGTAAAATTTATTAAATATTTTCTGCTTGGCGTTGTGTCCTCCAGGTAGAACAAACATCTCATGTGAGCAATTCTCCAAATATTTATACTAATAAGCATTCTTTCTGCATTGTTCACACATATCAATCTGAATTAAAGACAACCCAATAATAATTTCTAGTCTCCCATTAGAAAATGTACTGATGGGAACCAGTCTGGTAATACGCTCCTGTGTACTTCAGAGTTCAACTTGTGTACATATTTTTATTCAGTATTTGGGTAAACATATGTGAATTGCTAGTGCTATTTCACTATTTTTCACATGATAGAGTTGAACGTGCCTCCCATCATCTAAAACTATTTTTCTAAAGTTTAAAACAAAAATGTGTAAATAAATCATGTAAATTTTGTTTTGCACACAAAAATGTGTACATATACATTAGGATAAGGAAATTTAATGCCAACTTTCTTTTTACTCGGATATAGTCAACTTTAATCAGGAAGATTTCAATGGCACTCAACCCTAGAACTCCAAAATATACTACTGAATTTCTTTGGCTGAGTTCGGCAATATGCTAGACTAGGTTAAAACAGAGCTGAATATTTTGTAGTTCAGACTATTGTGGGACCTCAACCACTGTTTTAGTGTGTAGCGTGAACCAGACCATTATGTTAGGCCATAACAATTATTTGCTTTGGCCCAGCATGCTATGTAAATACAACAATTGTAGTTTAACAACTTGGCCTTAGGGTTTATAAATTGTCTGGATCCACTCTTTGAGTTGGGTTTTCACTATAGGATGCCTTCAGGCAATACCTGGCCAGAATCTTATATCTGATAAAATATGTCAATAATCACTTGAACCAATACCATGAGAATGCATTCGGGGTAAACAACATAATGGTCTTCAGGTATTTTGGGCTACAACTCCAATAAAATGCTAGGCATAACTCATGATCTAAATGTATGACAGTTCTTGTCCAAAATATCTGAAGGGCACTGACTGCTTCTTTCCCTTAAACATGAGGCAGTCCAGGTATTTTATGAAGAGAGACTAGTTTGAGGAAAAGACATGGAGTTTTGAATTCAAGCTTTTTAAGCATTTCTGGATGCTTGCATTCAAATGCATTGGAATTTTCTGAAATTTAACCTGTGCCTCCACCTATTTATTTATATAAAAAAATTATAACACCCCAAGAAGCAGCTATGTGTATCTTTTCAAAAAAGAAGAAAGGTAAGCACTGTGCTGCTGACACTTCTCACCACTTGGATAACTGGTTTCAATGTAACAATATTAAATCTTGATTGACTCCACTGTACAATTACAAAGCTAAATATCTCTATGGGGTGTTACAGAAAAACAGTTCAAAATTAATCAGCCAAGATTAATAAGACTCTGGAGTCCTTGGTGCTCTCTGAGCTTGGTTGTTTGCTTGCAGACGTTTCATTACCCAATTAGGTAACAACATCAGTGCAAGTGAGTGTGGGGTTTTCTCCCTGTTTATATACAGTACCTTGTTCTGCCAGCTTTGGCGGGGGTATGCTTTTCTCCTTGGTAGTAAGATTAATAAGACTCTGGAGTCCTTGGTGCTCTCTGAGCTTGGTTGTTTGCTTGCAGACGTTTCATTACCCAATTAGGTAACAACATCAGTGCAAGTGAGTGTGGGGTTTTCTCCCTGTTTATATACAGTACCTTGTTCTGCCAGCTTTGGTGGGGGTATGCTTTTCTCCTTGGTAGTTCTTGATTAGGGTATTGTTTTCTGCTTGATTGTCTGGTGTTAATCCATGCTTATCTGGGTCTTGGCTGCTGGAGGGGATGTGTTCTTTTTGTTTCCTTAGCTTTTTTATTGTCTCTCTTGAATGGTGTGTAAATATGATTTATTTCTATGTGTCTATTGATGGCTAATTTGTCTGAATGCCAAGCTTCCAGGAATTCCCTAGTGTTCTGGATTTAGCCTGGTCTAGGATTCTCACAGTTGAAATTGTGGTTAACTCTGTCCATGTGTTGTGAGATTAAGGAGTTTTCATTGTTCTTCTGACTGCTATTTGGTATCTATGGATGCACTCTGTTAGTCTTCTGCCTGTCTGTCCTACATAGTAGCTGTTACAGTCCTTACGCTGTATGTTGTAGATGACTCCTGTTTTTTCTTCTTGGGCTACTGGGTCTTTTAGTTTATTTAAGATGTTTTGGAGGATTTCAGTTGGTTTGTGTGCTATGGTGATGCCATGTGCTTGTAATAGTCTGTTAGTTGTTTCTGATATGTTTTTGATATATGGTAGTGTTATCCTTTTCATAGTTTGTGCTGGTTGTCCTGTAGTGGGTTGAGTGGTCAGGCACTCAAGGGCAAGCTACTGTATATAGACAGGGAGAAAACACCACACTCACTAGCACTGATGATGTTAACTAGCTGGGTAATGAAATGTCTGCAACCAAGCTCAGAGAGCACCAAGGATTCCACAGTTCAACCCTGAGCTCCATATATTCTGTTCTATTGGATTAACTAGACTACCCTCGTTTTTAACAGTTTGAATCATCCTCCCCCTTTGGTTACTATTAGTTTACCAGTTAGTATTGGACTAAGACAGCCAGTCTGGCGTAGTGGTTTAAGGCACTGGGCTAGAAACGGGGGAGACTGTGAGCTCTAGTCCCATCTTAGATAGGAAGCCAGCTGGATGACCTTGAGCCAGTCATTCTCTCTCAGCCCTAGGAAGAAGGCAATGGCAAACCATTTCCAAAAAACCATGCCAAGAAAACTGCAGGGACTTGTCCAGGTAATCACCAGGAGTCAACAATGACTCAAAGGCTCAAAATAAATAAATAAATAGGGCTACTATTAGTTCTAGCTAATGCATGGGAGCTGTCAAACCATCTATAGGGGACCAGGGTGATGGAATCTAAATTAAACCATGGTTTCAAAATAATTGAAAACACATTCACACAGCACAAGGCAAAAAATTCTCAGGAAGAATTGAAATTGTCGCTGGTACAAGATACTATTAGCTCATCTCTTAAATCTAACAAGTGTTTTTTTTTTTCCCCTCTGAAATTCTAAATCTGTGTTTGGCTTTATCTTCCCAAATACCTGCTGACGGGAGTTGTAGTCAGCTACATCTAGAGGACTCCAGTTTCGGGGTGCCTGTTACAAATTACGCTCTGTGCCCCGTGAGCAGGTGCAGATCTTGAAATGCCGGCTTAAATTCTGAGACTGCTTTTGCACTAGAGTACTTTTAAAACAGCTGGGTCGTTGTCTACTGCCTGCTTCATCTGTCAGCGCGATTGCGGAGAACGAATTATGCTTCAGTAAAGAGCCGAGCGTCTCTTAACCCCGGTTAAGCAACCTCTCCGCCCACAGACAGCCCTGTGACACGCACGCACAGGCTCAACAACGCGGCTCCGGTGAAAGAAGAACCCTCAGTCCCGGAGGACCACCAGGGGGGGGCCCAGGGCTGACTGACGGCGAGCAAGAGAAACAACTCTTCCTCGTAGAGGGCGGGAATAGGCTTGGGCTGTCGTCGTGGCGATATGCTAATACCGCCCTCAGGCCTCTGGTGAGCCAATGGGGCGGAAGTGCGCGATAGCGTCAGGCTCAGCAGGCGTGACGTAGGAGGAGTGAGCCGC